GATTTTGATAAAGTTCCAGCCATATAAGCTTTATAACTATACAAACTTATATTTGTTTTTCAAAAGCTTCAAAGGATTATTAAAAGTTTGAAATCACAGTCACGTAATCATAACTCCTGGGTAAATTTTCCGTTACTCCGTTACGGATCAACTTTTACGGTACTAAAATAAACACGGATATTAATTGACAACGGCGTAGTATCTCAACGCGTCGACTGACTAATCCAATTTTGTCTTTTGTGCAACAAGCGCTTCTGATCTTTATAATAACATAATATTATATATAATACAATATAATACTTCAGAGATCATTGAACACGTGCTCAAAAACAATAAACAGATAAGGAAACAAACTTTTTGAAACCTGTACGAAATTTTTTTCAGGAAATTGACAGCTCTTTTTGTATTTGTAACAGTCTAGTTTATATTATAGGTATAAAATTGAAGGGTTTCATAACAATGCATGCAACAAGACAACGTATGAAGTTTGTATTTTAGTTCAAATGCTATGTGGAATAATTATTAATTAATTATTAATTAATTAATTAAGTTGTATTATTTATATGATAAAAAAAAAAATTTTTAAGAACAGCTGGGAAAATATATAAAGAAATGCGCGTAGTTAAAGAATGGCAAGTCTGTTTTGGTAGAAAATCTATAGCAAAACTTGAATCTGTAAAACACAAATATTGCATGTTTCAATCATTAAAAATTGTAGAAATACTAGCCTAAAAAATTGTCATATTCTAACCTTTTCTTCACGAATACGTGTGTTTCTTAACTCTTTCTTCTTTTTCTATTTTTTGCTTTGGAAATTACATTAGTTGTGCCATTTTGTTTCCAAATCTTCAGGGCTGATGACACAGATTTCGAAATGGAGGGGCTCTATCGTAAATTTCTAAAAAAAAATCCTCTATATCGAGAAATTTAAAAAAATAGTGGGAACCCCTGGCCCACCTCCCCGGTGTCGTCGGCCATGTCTCATGTTTTTGTTTGAATTTCTCACAATTTACTTTCTTTTCTTTTTCAAAATTAATTTTTTTTTTTTTGCTAAAGGCTTTGCATTTCCTTGAATATCTCTGTTAATTTCTTTACAATTTTTCTTTCTAATTTACATTAGATTTAGTCTATCATAGACTTTGCTTTATAGCTTTTCAAAAAATTATTATTCTTTTGCGAATTCTCTAAACCCAATCTCGAAATTTCGAACAAATTTTTTTTAACTTTTAAAATATGGCACCGCTATTTTAAACCAAGAAAATACAAAATTTAAAGTTTTGTGAACGCAGCAATTATCTATTTCTAGTATAGCACATTGTATTTTTGCATTGCTATTAATTCTCTGGATTTTCCAAAGAACAATTTGATCTCAATGGCTGATTTAACTCACCAGTCAAATTCAGACTGTGAGTGCTACAGAGACCGTACAGAGCTTCCGAATAATTTTGCCTTACTAAAGCTTGAGCTCCCTAGTAAGCACTTGAAATAATGGATCCATTATCGTACCGTGATCGAGACAGTTACGAATATCCGAAGCTAGCTTTATAATCTTATCAGTGATAATCGTAAAATCACAGTGATAATCACAAAAATCGTACTTTTATTTGCCAGCCATGAGTTTCTTATTCATAGAGGAGGAAAAAAATAACAAAGGTTATCTGCTCAGTGTGAGATGTGTCAAGGGTACCATCAACTATGATAGTGAAGTAGATAGGTTTCTTTGACAGCTGCACTTCAGATGACATCACGACATTCTCAGATGAACTCATTTTGAGACAACGGAGAAAATTAATGGGCACTTCTTCAGAAGCCTTCTTGTTAATGGCGATATACATCTTTCAAGTGGGATACAATTACGGGGTTGAGGCAACCAATGTTGAGCATCAAATTCTCCTATGTTGGATAAAGTTACTCCTTCTGACTCTGACGAGTCACTTTGAAATTCATTAAGCTCAGCTTCAGGTAAAATAATTGGTGCCCCCACAGATCCACAGTTTTTCGAATCATGCATTTTGATTGCAACAGGTGATCTTGAAAGAGGAAGAGACCTCATTGGTTCCTTTAGGTACTCATAGACTGACTGGGAGTTGTGGTCATTATAAGAGGGGTCCTTAAAGAAAAAAGTTAGCGATAACAACTAATATCATAATACAAGAGGTTGTTAGAAGAAAAAAAAATGATACAAAAAACAGTTAACTTACTGGAGGCTTGATTGAGTGTTTTAGTAGCTTTAGCACGATTTTTAGCGTCATAAGATTTCTTTCGACTCGTTTTTTAGAAACACCTAAAATGTTTTTAATTTTTAATTATTTTATAAACAAAGTTTTCAATATCATATTTCTGAATTTATACAGCTCGGAAGTTTTACTCGAAAAACACCAATTTTTTTATAGAACAATTGGATAAAACTTTTATACAAATTGTTTATTTGTTTTTAAAATAAAAATAACTTATGTTATTTTATCATAAAAAAAACTAATTTATGTTATTTTATCATAAAAAAAACATAAATTAGTTTTATTTTACTTACGGTTTTGCCGTTGGAGCGTTTGCAACAGCCACTGCCCTCATGTTTGCAACAGCCACTGTCCTCATGTTTGCAACAGCCACTGTCCTAATGTTTTCAACAGCCACTGTCCTCATGTTTTCAACAGCCACTGTCCTCATGTTTGCAACAGCCACTGTCCTCATGTGTATTTGTTTTCTTTCGCTTAAATATTGCCTTATTTTTTACTGTCGAAGGTACTGTTTAAAATATTTTTATTTTCAACTATTCAATACATTAAATACGTCCGCAATAGACCGTTACATCAACTTCCAAGTGACACTCCGTTGTAAACAAAGTATTAGTTTGATTTTTTTTTCTAACTTTTCAACCTCAAAAATAACAATTTAAAAACTTAAAAACTTAATTAAACAAAAATTACAATATTTTTAAAATTATTTTAAGTGCTTCAAAGTCCTTATTAATCACTTGCATCTAACTAATCACTTGTATTAGTTATCAGTATCACTGTCATCGAAAAAGTTGTTGGAGCAGAGCAAGAACTATAAACAGGTGACTATAGCAACTATACTTTTTTGTTGATCTTTTGCAATATCTTTGTTGTTGATCTTTTCCAATATCTTTGTTGTTGATCTTTTCCAGTATCTTTGTTGTTGATCTTTTCCGATATCTTTGTTGTTGATCTTTTCCAATACCTTTGTTAGATAATAGATACTTATGGAAATTACGACAGGATTATGATTTGAAATTATATTTAACAAATGAAATACTTTTAACAGACTCTAATGATAATCCATTTCTTCCTTTTGTCTGTTAGCCAGTAATTAGTGAAAACAATCGCTCTACAGAGGCGTTGTGGCTTAGAATATAATAAAAAAGGTTCACTATTTTCAACAGCTCAAAGCCACAAAGTTTATCTGGAAGGTTATTAAAATACTTGAGCAAAATAATTGTAATTAAGTTTTTTTAGTGTTTTTCTTCACATATTCTTTAAACTATTTCACCTCTTCTTTGTGACTTTTTAAAAACTTTACAAAGTTATAGTATTGGTCTTTTCATAATTAATTTGGATCTTTTTCATTTACAAATAAAATTGAGTTTCAACCTGATCCCAAATTGGGATATTGTCTAGTTTCTTACAACTGAAAGCTTTTAACTCTTGATATTAGGACTACTAACAGATAAAAAATTGCGTAACCTTTGACCTTTTTATTACTGTGCATTAGAAAAATAGGATTAACATAAAATATATGTTTCAGTAGGGCAAATTTCGCATTTAACTTCACAATAGTTTCTCCCTTTCTTAAAACTATAAAACATTTTTTAAAGGACATTATTGAATATGCAACTCTTCTTTTACCTTTTAAACTTTAAACTTTAAATTCAAGAAATAAACTTTTGTGAAGTCACAAGCAAAATACTAATGTTAAAAGTTAAACATTAGGTTTATAAAGTACTTCAGTTGGTTAATTTTCCATTTAATAATTTTTACATTTTCAGACTTATATATACTTAAAAATTAAGTATTTAATATGAAATTTATATAGAAACCTCCAAAAAAAAAAGTTTTCATATTTTTCTCCAAAATCCCCCAGAGCCTTTTTTTTGCTTTAAAATCCAGAGATCTCCAGGGAGATGCGGGAATATGGGAACCTTATCATTATTTTTTCGATCAAGTTGTTTAACTAAATACTCATTTATTCAACACTTATACTAACCGTAAACCAAAAGCCTCACTTCCGTAAGTTTCACCAACGCATCGAATTGAAATTTCAACATTTTAAAGAAAAAACTTTTTTTTTCCTGTTGTGTTTAAAGTAGCCTGCAATTTAAAGAAAAAACTGTTTTTTATTTATTGGGTTTAAAATAGGCGTTCCATGTACTTTAAAACCGATGAAAAAACTTAAATACTTGACAAGTGGCTGGGTCCTGGTAGAGACAAGGCAACTTATTTTCCTAAAAAAAGCGAGATTTTCTCTTTTTGTTCAACAGTTAAACACTACTTGAAAAGGTAGCGCTTTTTATCGTGAAATCGTCAACAAATGCCTCGTTTGTCTTATTCTTATTCCGAATAATAAAGTTTTAACCTTAAATACAAAAACTAAGCAGGTTTCAAATTGTCAATCATTCAAATTTTTCCTAATTATTAAAAAAAAAAACCTTTTTTTCCGACACCTTTTCAACTATGGCGTGTGGGTCATTTTGCCCCTCTTTCCCCCTCCCCCCTCCTTCCTTTTAAGAAGTCTTAATTTTTTCTTACAATCTTTATGCCTAATTTTTTGCTTTATTTTGTTTACTTTTAAATTAAAACGTAGTAATTCTATCCAAACATTAGCTCAAATTTTTTTTTTTTTATATTTTAACCGGTTGTTCTTAAAATACTCACTACAACCGGAAATGACCGGCTCCCGGTTATTAGCTATTTTTTTCGTGTTCTCACTCACTATTTCAAACTTAATGATTTTTAATTTTGAGTACTATGTAAAAGGTTAGGCCATGTTCATTGTTTTAATTTAAAATGTCAACTTGACCAACCAGAAAATTGAAAAGGCAAAAGGACCAACCAGAGAAGTAACTCAGCGCAACATAAGAACCAACCAAAAAGCTAATTTGTGTCAGTTCTTAGAATTCGACACAATAATGGTAATATTTACTTTTTATACTGCTTGATTTTCTGATTTTTTAATAACCAAATGATGATGAAATATTTAAAATTAAGTTATTCATGTTAAAACCACAACAAGTTAGTAGTTAGTAGTAAAAATTTAGTAGAATTACTTCTATCACTACACCAACAACGACGACGACGACAACAACAACAACAACAACAACAACAACAACAGCTGCAGCAACAACAACAACAACAACAACAACAAAACAACAACAACTGCTACTACTACTACTACTACTACTACTACTACTACTACTACTACTACTACTACTACTACTACTACTACTACTACTACTACTACTACTACTACTACTAATACTACTACTACTACTACTACTACTACTACTACTACTACTACTACTACTACTGCTACTGCTACTGCTACTGCTACTGCTACTGCTACTGCTACTACTACTGCTGCTGCTGCTGCTGCTGCTACTACTACTACTACTACTACTACTACTACTACTACTACTTCTACTACTACTACTACTACTACTACTACTACTACTACTACTACTACTACTACTACTACTACTACTACTACTACTACTACTGCTGCTGCTGCTGCTGCTACTGCTGTTGCTACTGCTACTCTAAAAATTAAGTTAAAAGATTTATAATAATATTTAAAAATATACAGCATATAGCATATACATATCTAAATTTAAAACAATGATTTTCTATATTTGAATTACTTAATAACTGTTTGTTAATATAAGGTTATTAACAAGCAGTTTACTTTTATCAATAGACTTCGGATGCTGCTCAATTGTTAGCAACCTTTTGGCCAAGAGTTATGAATGAAATTAGGACAAAACCTCTTCAAATGCCAAAATCTGTAAGTCTTTAATGTTATAAATTATATTAACAGTTAAGCTTAGTAATTTTTTAATATATTTATTTATCTAACAATCATGTATGTATGTATTAAACGCAATTAACTTGATTATGCTTTGTTTTTCTTTGATTTATTTTTTTAGGGAAGCAAGA